AACCTTGTCAAACCTGGTTTTAGTCCTTGTGTGGCTCCTGTTTTGGCTGTTTGCGAGTATTTTCAGTCTGCTCGCTTAGACAGCTAATGTCCCCGTGACCACTTTGAGGCTCTCTGATTGGTCGCTGCACGAGCGTCCTGAGGAAAGGTTGAGCAAAGTTTATCTCCTGTGGGCGTCCATTTTCAGCTCCTGCACCTCCCCTTCGACTTTGCCGCGCAGTTTGTGCGTCTCTACTGAGCAGTACGTGCGTGCATTCCGAGACGCACATGCTTTTTGACGCTCGAACGCGCGTCACCGTTGACTTTGCATTGAAAGCCGACGCAACGCATGATCTGGTCTGAATGGCATTAGGAATTAGCCACGCGTCACAGCTGCTAACGCATGCTACACAACAACAATGAGCCATGGGCAGACCTGGAGCAAAGAGGAGACACTGCAACAGGCTTATGGAGCCTTTTAAAGAAGCTATACCTGGAGTAGTTGATAAAAATGCTTATTACTACATACAAGTTGTATTATAATCCGGAATTTAATTGAAAACTTGAGGTAATTGATTCAGCTGTGTAAGAATTACAAGCAGTGAAAAGTGCTGAGTAGAGTCTGAGCGTGCCGCTCGTTCTCCTCCGCTCACAGAACGAGCAGCAAACAGCCTGCGTCCTCTAGCCCCTACAGCGCTGCTAAACACTAGGGCTTCGGCTTCGAATTTCAAATATAATTCTAAAATTAGAAAAAAATATATATATTCGAACACACATTAGACAGCCCTTACAATTCGAAATGTATTCAATGTCTGCAAATAAAATAGTTAGCTCCCAAAGGTTCCACCGGAACGTGCTAGGCAGGTAACAGTTAAGCTAGCTAGTTCACTACATGTTAATGGTTACTTCCGGGTTTTTCACGATCGCTTTTTGTCACATTAAAATAGTAATTTGGTCATGAAAACGATAACAAGAAATTCTGAAAAAGTCCGTGCATGTGTGTTAAGGATGTATATGTATATGTATACTGTATAGGGCACTGTCCGGTTTCCGACATGTGCTAAAAATAGCTCCGATGACACGGCATGCGCACATGTTTCGGACTAACATTATACGACTCCGTTGAGTACTACTGTGTTCTCCACATACGTGTGTGTATTTATTTGGGCTAAATCATTGAATCATGGTGACAACAAAACACTGCAGTTATGGTACTTGTCGAAGCGATTTCAGATACTTTCATATAGTCCTTATCAGAGTAACATTCAACCCGTTCGTTAAACCACACCATCGAACCAGACCAGGACCAGACCAGGACAAGTGCAAGAGGTGGGTTCGTGCTTGTGGTCGGCAGAATTTCTCTCATAAAAATGTTAAGATGGACTCATATTTGTTCAAAACACTTTGTCTGTGAAGCTGGACCAACTGTGGAGCATCCAGATCCAGTCCTAGCTACGTTTAGATGGGACTGGACCTGGACCGCTGTATCAGGTCCGTCTGAGCTCTTCTGAATGTAGTTAGCACAAACTTTCTCTTTATACCATTTACCCCATCAATCCATATTAGTCTGTCCTAATCCAGAATGTATGCTATTATCACACCTTTTTTTCAACTTCGTGACTATCGGAAAAAAGTACAGACGAAGAGCGTCGGGGTTCGCTTATTATACGGCTTTGTACCAACTGAACACACAAAATTAACTTCAGTCACTTTTATTAATGCCAAAAGGTTTATTTAATGACTGCAAAGAAAATAGTTCCCAAAGGTTTTCCCGAGGCAGGCGAGTAACAGTGAAGCTAGTTAACCTACTTCAAAAAAGCGATCGCTTTAGTCGCATTAAAGTATTTTTGTCATGAAAACCTTAACAGATAATTCTGAAAACCTCCGTGCACTTGTGTTATGAATGTATGTATGTATAATATATTCTCCCATTAACATTTAAATGTGTCGATTGATATTTGCGTTTATTGAGTGTGGCTAGCTCCGATAGTTTCTCTCTCCCGTGACAGTAGTGGCGTAGCCCGTTGTGACCCCATAGATCTATTATAATATCGGCGGACAGTAGCTAACTAGATCAAACTAATTACAACGTGGACAGTGCAAAAAAACTTGATAAATGGAAGTTAATAACAGCAAAATAAACAAAGAAGGCGCTAGCATTGCAATTTAAATGACAAGATAATGTTAGCATAATCCTCACCATTACCTTTTTATCAACTCAAACTTTCTACCAGTTACTGGAAGACCACGACATTCAAGCCAAACGTTTTAATTGGTCTATACTATGATCCCTGATGGTTTGATGGTGGAATTTTGCTCCTGGTATATCATTTTTCGTCTAAAGTGACAAGTGGTTATTGATTTATTTCGGCAGTGTATGTCCGAAACATGTGGGCGGGAGTTGACAGGCGGCGGGGGCGTGTCTTCGTGACGTCATTTAGATAGTTCGCTATTGTCTGATTAACATTTAATGGTGTTGATTGATAGATATGTAGTTGTTTATTGAGCGTGGCTAGCTCGGCTAGCTCCGCTAGCTTCTCTCTTTGTACTTGCGGAGTAATGCGGAGTATTTTACACACCTGAATTACAAACAGAGATTGCATTGTCAAAGGGCAGCGGTCATTTATTGATTTGAGAGTTCTGCTATCAAGAAAAAATTATCGGTAGAATTACATTCAAGTCAATGGACTGTTCTGCTGCTGCTCTGAGGTGCTGTATAATAAATTATACTTAAATACTCGAATATATTCTAAGTATTAAATAAATTTGGATGTGAAACTAGCAGTATTATTTACCTAAATATTGTGTTAGCAGTGCGTTGTTAGGAACTCGCTGTAAGGACCAGGAGGTCGGTATAAAACTATAAATAACACCGCTTTTTGTTTTCTCCACCCAGGACAGGTGATTGAAAGTGTTAAGTTTTCAAACGAGTGAAAAGCATCGTTGGTTTTGGAACTAAGAAGTAAGTTGGTGTGTGATATAATCGCAACGCAGCCGCCGCGACCTGTAGTTCTCGCTTTCTGGTAGTTAACGGAGGAGTGTACTCATTCAATCTGACGTAGTCGTCTTGTTGGAGCCAAGTCTCCGAGAGCGCAAACAAATCCAAGTTTTTGTCTATAATAAGTTTGTTTATGAGAAGCGATTTAGGCGAGATTGATCAGACCCTCAGACGTTCTCACTACTCTCCTTTACTTCAGACTCTCTCACTACTGTCTCCTTTACCTTCAGACTCTCTCACTACTGTCTCCTTTACCTTCCCAGACTCTCTCACTACTGTCTCCTTTACCTTTTCAGACTCTCTCACTACTGTCTCCTTTACCCTTAGACTCTCTCACTACTGTCTCCTTTACCTTCTAGACTCTCTCACTTACTGTCTCCTTTACCCTTCAGACTCTCTCACCACTGTCTCTTTACCTTCAGACTCTCTCACACTGCCTCCTTTACCCTTTCAGACTCTCTCACTACTGCCTCCCTTACCTTCAGACTCTCTCACTACTGTCTCCTTTACCCTCAGACTCTCTCACTACTGTCTCCTTTACCTCAGACTCTCTCACTACTGTCTCCTTTACCTCAGACTCTCTCACTACTGTCCCTTTACCTTCAGACTCTCTCACTACTGTCTCCTTTACCTTCAGACTCTCTCACTACTGTCTCCTTTACCTTCAGACTCTCTCAACTACTGTCTCCTTTACTTTCTTCACTACTGTCTCCTTTACCTTCAGACTCTCTCACTACTGTTTCAGACTCTCTCACTACTGTCTCCTTTACCTTCAGATCTCTCAAACCTTCAGACTCTCTCACTACTGTCTCCTTTACCTTCAGGTCTCCTTTACCTTCAGACAAAAACCGAAGCAGACTCTCTCAGACTGTCTCCTTTACCTTGACGCTCTCCCTACTGTTTTTACCTGGAACAGAAACCAAATCCAGAAAATTCATCTTTTGGGCGTGTCAGGGATGAAGCACATTGAAGACGCTTGAACAGGATAAAGAAGTGTAGCCACAGTTCTCTTCAAATAAATCCTTTTTTATTCTTTAAAAATAGAACTTGCACATTTGGTTGTGCTGTGTTTGAAAAATGTACACAATACATTTGCAATTAATATGATAGAACATTTTCTACAGACATAAAAACGCTTTAAAGTGTGTTGCATTCCTATGGCAGAGAGCCATGATTTCCACCGTAAATAATAAAAAGTGACTTTCTGAGGAAGACACATTCTGCTGCTTGTGTGATTCCTTATTTTGTGCAGGTGAGAGTTTGTTGTGTGTAGTAATCGGCTACAACAGCACCATCTACTGGTGCAGTGGTAGAACAACCACATGTGATTCTCTGGAGATTTGTGCATGAACAGCCTCTCGTTCAATTTACACACACATCTGAGAACACACACATCTGAGAACACACACATCTGAGAACACACACATCTGAGAACACACACATCTGAGAACACACACACATCTGAGAACACACACATCTGAGAACACACACACATCTGAGAACACACACATCTGAGAACACACACATCTGAGAACACACACATCTGAGAACACACACACACAGTCCAAGTTACACTTACGAATCTGCAAAGACAGGACTGTGTCAAAAGATCTATGTGTAAAAAAAAAGACTTTTGTAAAGCGTAGACTTTGTTTTCACACACACAGATCTGGTTACACACACACACACACACACACACACACACAAATATCATTGAAACAATAAAAGCTCCATAATACTGTTCCATGTTTTAGACATTTTGTGAACACATTTGTGACTTCAGTGTGGTGTACCTGTAAGCAAGAGCCCTGTGAGTCACTTATTGTCCCTTTGGGCTGAGTGAAGGTAGTTCACTCTTTTTCAGAGGTCACGTCACAGAACAAGTGAAGAAAATGGTTTAAGCAGGAACTGGTTACATGGATTTTTATTTTGTGGAGTTTAAACTTAGGTTCTTTATCTTTAATTATGTATTTATTTACATATGTATTCTAGTGAAGCAGCAACGACACAGGAGGGCGTGAACAATGTCTGCAAGAGACGGCCACAGGAGGAAGGAGGAGAACAAGGAGGAAGAAGAGGAAGAGGAGGATGGGAAGGAGACGGGGGAGGAGAAGGAGGAAGCAAAGAAGGAGAAGGAGGAGGAGAACAAGGAGGAAGAAGAGGAAGAGGAGGATGGGAAGGAGACAGGGGAGGAGGAAGACGAGGAGAAGGAGGACAAGGAGGAAGATGAGAAAGAGGAGGAGGGGAAGGAGGACGAAGAGGAGAAGGAGGGGGAGAAGGAGGAAGAAGATAAGGAGAAGAAAGGAGAGAAGAAGGAAGAGGAGGAGGAGAAGGAAGAAGAGAAGATGAAAGAAGAGAAGGGGGAGGAAAAAGAGAAGGAGGAAGAAGAGCAGGAGACGAAAGAAGAGGAGAAGGAGGAGGAGGAGAAGAAAGAAGTTGTGGAAAAAGAGGAGGATGAGAAGAAAGAAGAGAAGAAGGAAGAAGAGGAGGAGAAAGAGGTTGTGGAAAAAGAGGAGAATGAGAAGGAGGAAAAAGAGAAGAAAGAAGAAGAGGAGGAGGAGAAGGAGGAAGAAGAGGAGGAAATGGAGGAGGAGGAAGAAGAGGAGGAGGAGAAGGAGGAAGAAGAGGAGGAAATGGAGGAGGAGGAAGAAGAGAAGATAAAAGAAGAGGAGAAGAAGGGGGAAGAAGAGAAGGAGGAAGAAGAGGAGGAGGAAGAAGAGAAGATAAAAGAAGAGGAGAAGAAGGGGGAAGAAGAGAAGGAGGAAGAAGAGGAGGAGGAAGAAGAGAAGATAAAAGAAGAGGAGAAGAAGGGGGAAGAAGAGAAGGAGGAAGAAGAGGAGGAGGAGGTTAGTGTGTTCAGCTGCAGTAATGTGTGTTTCTCAGTGGAAACGTGACCAAACGTTGGACTTGTTTGTTTGCAGGAGTTTTATGAAGCTGCAGAGACACTTCTACATCAGGACTGTTCAGACACTGACAAAGGTACGGTTCTTTCCCTCTCCATGGACTCGGTCTCATTGTAATCTTTAGAGCTTGGGTTACTACAGCAACAATTGTCTTGTGGTGAGGTGAGTGAGGACTCAAATGCCAGAATGCCAAAATAAAGATTTAATAAAATAAAGTCCAAGGTAAAAACCAAAACACCAAAAGCAACCAGGAACCCAGGAACAAGACAATGGACCAGCAACAAGGGGAGAGAAGCACATGGTACATACAGACACAGACACAGGTGAAACACATCAGGGCGGGGCAGACAATCAACAGGGGAACAAGACATGAAGTAAAACTGAAATTAAACCAGAGAACCAATGTCAAAATAAAATCAAATACAAAAATAAAATCCACACCATGACAACAATATCATCAAACAAAATATTTGTCTCAAAAACGTTCAACCGACACTTTGGGTCTCCTCTGGTGTGGTTTATCTGTACCATGGGTCTCCTCTGGTGTGGTTTATCTGTACCATGGGTCTCCTCTGGTGTGGTATATCTGTACCATGGGTCTCCTCTGGTGTGGTTTATCTGTACCATGGGTCTCCTCTGGTGTGGCATATCTGTACCATGGGTCTCCTCTGGTGTGGTATCTCTGTACCATGGGTCTCCTCTGGTGTGGTATATCTGTACCATGTGTCTCCTCTGATGTGGTATATCTGTACCATGGGTCTCCTCTGGTATGGCATATCTGTACCATGGGTCTCCTCTGGTATGGCATATCTGTACCATGGGTCTCCTCTGGTGTGGTTTATCTGTACCATGGGTCTCCTCTGGTGTGGTTTATCTGTACCATGGGTCTCCTCTGGTGTGGTATATCTGTACCTTGGGTCTCCTCTGATGTGGTTTATCTGTACCATGTGTCTCCTCTGGTGTGGTTTATCTGTACCATGGGTCTCCTCTGATGTGGTTTATCTGTACCATGTGTCTCCTCTGGTGTGGTTTATCTGTACCATGGGTCTCCTCTGGTGTGGTTTATCTGTACCTTGGGTCTCCTCTGATGTGGTTTATCTGTACCATGTGTCTCCTCTGGTGTGGTTTATCTGTACCATGGGTCTCCTCTGATGTGGTTTATCTGTACCATGTGTCTCCTCTGGTGTGGTTTATCTGTACCATGGGTCTCCTCTGATGTGGTTTATCTGTACCATGTGTCTCCTCTGGTGTGGTTTATCTGTACCATGGGTCTCCTCTGGTGTGGTATCTCTGTACCATGGGTCTCCTCTGATGTGGTAGTTCAATCTGGAGAGACTTGAGAAGAAGATTGCATTAGAATATCTATTGTAGAGATGCATGAATAAACACCAGCATACTTAGAGTTCTAATATATTTTTTGCATTAAGATTGACGATTAGACCCCGGCAGGGATACTGCATGCCGTATGCAGAAGGGAGTTTCGTAGAAACTAGAGCTTGCGACCCCCCAAAAATGAGGTACCTGAAGTGCCAGGCTGGTAAGCTGGTGGTGAGGAATTTACCAGCTTACAGTACAGAACTTTATGTTTACCCTGACGATTTAGGTGATTTCATGATAAGTGCAGCAGCGCCTGAGCTGATGATGTAGCCGCAGCAAGGATGTGGGGGTTCCAGGATAATGTGGCAGCAGTGGTGGCAGCTGGTTTATGAGAGTTTACGCTTAGATTAATTTTAACGTTAGAATGACTTAATTGTTATTGTCCCTCAATGTCCTGGATCATCACCAGAGTTCTTCTTGTTAGACCCAGAAGGGGTCCAACAGACCCTCTTGCTTCGGCAAGGAACAACTCAAAAACCCAGTGGGAAAAAGGAGAAACCTCAGGGAGAGCCACATTAATAGAGGGACCCGCTCCCACGGACTAACGGGCTGTAGATCCAGGACTATGAATAAACCTCAGTAAATAATACTTAAGGGGAGAAAACCGGTGTTGTGAGATACTTTTAGGAACCCCCATAGACTAAGGGAGGGACAAGACTGCAGTCTGCGTCTTACCTGCCTGAATCAGATGGCCATAGTTGTCGCCGGTCGCCAAGAGAAGCCATGAAGCCAATACCGTTCTGTGGATATGGGTGAATTGCTGATATGGAAGCAGTGCCTGTGCTGATGTAGTGGCCCCGATGTGGCAGCTGCAGAGACGATATGGCGGTGGTGGCAGCAGCGGCACCTGCTGAGATGATACGGTAGTGGTGGCAGCTGCTGCGCTTATGAGGCAATGGTACGGATGATGCTGCAGCCGGAGTGATGTGGCAGGCTAAAACATACAGAATGCAATTAGATATTTTTATTTATTGGTGCATTGACCCCGGCAGTGACACTTCCTAAGGGGAGATCATTACTGAGGAAGATGATCTCTGATCCCCCAAAACTAAGAGCTTGGCTCGACCAGAGCTTTGGGCTTGACGAGAGCTTTGGGCTCGACGAGAGCTTTGGGCTTGACGAGAGCTTTGGGCTTGACGAGAGCTTTGGGCTCAACGAGAGCTTTGGGCTCGACGAGAGCTTTGGGCTCGACGAGAATACGACCTGACGAGGGGATGAATGTGTGCCGGGGAATGCGCGAAACGCTGTGCTTAGTTAGGTTAGTGATAGGGTGGCATGCCGGAAGGACCTGTGGGGCATGATAGAATAGGTGTGATTACAATACAATACAATTTACAATACAATACAATTTATTCTTGTATACCACTAGGTCATAACAGAAGTCATCTCAGAGACTTAACAAAACCATTGAAATCACCAACACAGGTCAGAGAATCAACAGTTAAAACACATGAAGAATATAAAGCACACACAGAAGAAAATGTCCATACATGTTGTAGAATGCTAAAGTGTCCTGATCATCACCAATCCTTTCTGTTGGACACTAACTGTCCAACAAGACCCTCCTGCATCCACAAGGAACAACTCTTAAAAAACCCAGTGGGAAAAAGTGAGAAACCTTGGGGAGAACTAGGGAAACCCACAGGGAGGGAGACCCATTTGAGAAGGGATCCGCTCCTCCGGACAGACAGGCTAATGATCCAGGACCTAAGCTAGCTACAGAACGTGGACCAGTGGCCGCTGAACGTGGACAGGTCCGGTGCAGGACTGAAGCACTCCCAGGCGGGTCGGGCGGGGCAGTCCGCAGGTGTAGATGGAGGAGGCCAGGCTCAGAGATCCCGTCATGGTACCATGAAACAGACAATGGGACAACGGGTGAATAGCAATGAACAAACTACAGTCAAAATCCTAAAAATGCTAAACAGATAAAGTAGGAAGGAGGAGAGGATAGTGCTCAAGTTACCATACTTCTCCAGCAGGGGGCTCCCTATGCAGCTTGACTGACAGTCTGAGGAGTTTAGCCTTCCCTGAATCTTACCTTCCTAGCCATATGCTAAACTAAAGAGGACTGTTTTAAACCTAGCCTTGAATAAAGAGGGCGTATCTGAAAGGAGGCGAGACAGCAGCAGCCACGGCTAGTCCAGGCTACAGCACCAAGATTCATGGATTGCACACCAGGTGTGCAAACCGATCCAGGCAAACCTAATTATATTAGTTACCATGGCGGCGGATGAACATGCTGCGGCTTCTCTCTCTCTTGACAAGGTGACGTTTCTACCCTTTTCTGCAAACTGCATTTGCAGTTTTTGTGATCCGCATTGTTTTGCAAGATGTTGTTGTACATCTTTGCCATGTTTTTGTGGAGTTCATCGGATTTTTTACTGCCAAAGCTCTTTGCTAGCAATGAACAGAGGATGTGTTTTTAAAAGTAAACACACAGTTAGCATCTGAGCCCAAAGGCTTTTTGAGCAGTATTTAAGACCTACAAATCCAGAGATATCATCTTCTGAAGCGCTGACAGGTCACCGAGGGCCCCACGCATCTGCAGCACAGTGGAGGCGTCACAAGAGGCGCTACAGGAGTCCCGGCCTCCGTTGTGTGCAACTTCTACAGAGGGACTGTAGAGAGCATCCTGACCAGCTCCATCACTGGGTGGCACGGCACCAGCACTGCCTCCTGCCGAAGGAGCCTCCAGCGCATCGTGAGAGCAGCAGAGAAGATCTGTGGAGCCCCTCTCCCCACCATTAAGGACATGTACTCCACCCGTCTCACCCGCAAAGCCGTCAGAATCACCAGGGACCCTACGCACCCATCACACAGGCTCTTCAGGGTAATGCCTTCAGGGAGGAGACTGCAGAATTTACGGAACAGTTCCAGTCGACTTAAAAACAGTTTCATTCACAAGGCCATCAGGAAGCTGAACTCCCTGGCCCTCCCTCCCACCCCTCTTCCCCCATCCCCCGCTCCACAATCAAGGATGAGATAAATATAATTTCAAACCATTCACTTGGTTTGACAAATAAAAATCTTTAAATCTTGAAATCTTATATATTATATATCAGACACATCATATATACCATACATACCATATATATCATATATAATACATAACATAACATGCAGCATAATATATAACATAATATACAACATAACACAATACACAACATAATACATATATTGTATAATATATAACATAATATATAACATAATACAGCATATATATATAATATATACACCATATATTATATATTACCTAATTATATGCTAAATTAAAGTAGAGTGCTTTAAGCCTGGCCTTGAATGTGGAGACCGTATCTGCTTCCTTAACATAGATGGGAAGCTGATTCCACAGTAAAGGAGCTTGGTAGCTAAACGCTCTGCCGCCAACAGTGATTTTTGAGACCTTAGGAACCACCAGACGTCTGGCGTTTTGTGAGCGCAACGCTCAACTTGGTTGATACGACACTAACGTGTCTTGGAGATAAGAAGGAGCCAAGCCATTTATGGCTTTATATGTTAAGAGAAGGATTTTAAACTTTATTCTGTACTCCACAGGGAGCCAGTGGAGTGATTTTAACACCGGAGTTATGTGCTCCCTCCTTTTGGTACCTGTTAAGATCCTAGCTGCTGTATTCTGAACGAGCTGGAAGCTCTTCAAAGAGGTTTTAGGGCATGCTGCCAGTAAAGCGTTACAGTAGTCGAGCCTTGAGGTGACAAACGCGTGAATGAGTTTTTCCGCGTCACTTTTAGGAAGGAAATTCCTAATTTTAGCGATGTTCCGTAAGTGGAAGTACGCCGTTTTAGTTGCTTGGCTTATATAAGCCTTGAAGGAGAGTTCTTGGTCAAAAATGACTCCAAGATTCCTCACAGTGTTACTGGGTACAATACTGACATTATCGAGAGTGATTATCTGGTTAGTAAGGGAGTCACGCAGGCGCTTCGGACCGAGTAGGATCACTTCTGTCTTCTCCGGGTTGAGAAGTAGGAAGTTAAGAGTCATCCACATTTTAAGGTCCTTTATGCAGGCATTGAGCTTTTCTAGCTGATCTGTCTGATTTGGCTTCATCGACAGATAAAGTTGTGTGTCATCTGCAGCAGTGGAAATTAATTCCATGCTTTTTAATAATGTTTCCTAACGGCAGCATGTAGAGAGTGAAAAGAATCGGTCCGAGTACCGAACCCTGCGGCACACCGAATTCTACTCCAGAATAAGGCGACGAGTTCTGATTTACGTTGACGAAGTGATACCGATCTGATAAATAGGATTTAAACCAGCCAAGGGCTGTTCCTCTAAGACCTATATCACATTCTAGCCTCTGCAGTAGAATGCTGTGGTCTATTGTGTCAAATGCAGCACTACAGAAAGGAATTGTGGCGAAGCGTATGGCTGCAGATAATGTGCAGAGGAAATTTGATGCATGTACGGGGAGATGCTGATGCAGGTATGAATGATTAAGTGGCGTATGGCCGCTTCCATCATTGCTGGGTAAGGGGTGTTACGAAACGACAGCTGGACGTTGGACTGAGAATTATATAAATAAACGTGACTTAAGCCTGGTTCACACGGCAGGATAATTAGGCCAATTTTGGACCCGATTTACCCCTACGACAATCGAAAGAACGCTCCGAATATTGTAACAATAAATCTGATGTATTTTCCTGCTGTGTGTGGTGTGTTAAGACTGTGCTCGTCGCTCTGAAGGACTTCGGGACTGCTCCGATCTCAATATCGGGGATATCCAACATGTTGGATTGTTTTGGCCCGATTTCTCTTCATGTGTGGTGTCCCCCGGGGACAGACGAGCGCGTTGCCATGACTGCAGCGTGTAGCCAATCAGAAGACGAGACAAGCCGGCGAGGAAACACCGTAAAAAAAAAAACTGTCAGCGGCATGGCGCACCAGAAAGTTCGGTGGACATCAGAGATGGAGGAACAACTAGTTGACCTCTGGCAACACCGTGAATGTATGATGTGTCGTGTAAAGAATATCATCACTGAAATGACAAGGAGAGGAATTGGGCAGAAATGGCTGCTGCACAGGTAGTGTTGGCATAAGCCCTGTTCGGACGGGATTAGTACTAAATGATCAGACTGATGGTTGTGTTTGTACGTTTACTTTGCACTCTGTCCTAATACAGTACAGACGTGTTGATGCAGCCGTTACTGCAGCCGTGCTTGTTGGTTTGCGCGCATGTAAAGTTTCATGTCTAGCAGTGCGTGTGATGCGTTCACAGGTAGTCCGTACAAACTGTATTGTTAAACAGCACAGACAGTACGGGCCAGAGAACTGTAGAGCAGTAAAATCCACATGTACACTGGGGCAAAAAAGTATTTAGTCAGCCACAGATTGTGCAAGTTCTCCCACTTAAAATAATGACAGAGGTCTGTAATTTTCATCATAGGTTCACTTCAACTCTGAGAGACAGAATGTGAAAAAAGAATCCAGGAATTCACATTTTTAAAGAATTTATTTGTAAATTATGGTGGAAAATAAGTATTTGGTCACTTCAGCCAAGGAAGATCTCTGGCTCTCACAGACCTGTAACTTCTTCTTTAAGAAGCTCTTCTGTCCTCCACTCGTTACCTGTATTAATGGCACCTGTTTGAACTGGTTATCTGTATAAAAGACACCTGTCCACAGCCTCAAACAGACTCCAAACTCCACTATGGCCAAGACCAAAGAGCCGTTGAAGGACACCAGGAAAAGAATTGTAGACCTGCACCAGACTGGGAAGAGTGAATCTACAATAGGCAAGCAGCTTGGTGTGAACAAATCAACTGTGGGAGCAATTATCAGAAAATGGACGACATACAAGACCACTGATAATCTCCCTCCATCTGGGGCTCCACGCAAGATCTCATCCTGTGGGGTCAAAATGATCATGAGAACGGTGATCAAAAATCCCAGAGCCACACGGGGGGACCTGGTGAATGACCTGCAGAGAGCTGGGACCAAAGTAACAAAGGTTACCATCAGTAACACACTACGACGACAGGGAATCAAATCCTGCTGTGCCAGACGTGTCCCCTGCTGAAGCCAGTGCATGTCCAGGCCCGTCTGAAGTTTGCCAGAGAGCACATGGATGATACAGCAGAGGATTGGGAGATTTTCATGTGGTCAGATGAAACCAAAGTACAACTGTTTGGTATAAACTCAACTCGTCGTGTTTGGAGGAAGAAGAATACTGAGTTGCATCCCAAGAACAC